ACTTCCTGAGTCACACAACAGCAAGCCTTGTACAGAGGCAGAGACTCAAGTTGAGGCTTTGGTGCCTAAGATGCTGTAGCTTGAGCTATTACCAACCCCTGCCTCCAATGTGCTGATCTGTGGATGTGAAAGCCTGGGGTCCACTCTGACCTCAGAATCTTTGTCTAATCTTGTCTTTCTGATTCTCCTGCATGTGGTTCTGTTTCTCTCTCCACTCTCTCTGTTTCTCTCTTCAATTCCCCACCCCCTGCACCTGGGTACCGGGTCCAGGACAAGCACGCACTCCTGGATGTGACCCCATCGGCAATTGAGCGCCTCAACTATGTGCAGTACTACCCCATCGTGGTCTTCTTTGCCTCTGAGAGCCGGGTGGCACTCAAGGCACTGCGCCAGTGGTTAGCACCTGCTTCCCGCCGCAGTACCCGCCGCCTCCATGCACAAGCCCAGAAGCTGCGGAAGCACAGTGGCCACCTCTTCACAGGTAGAGTGGGGAACCAGACGTCCCAGGGTGGATGGTGGTTGTCCCAGGCTGAGCCTCCAGACCTCACTGATGCCCTTTACTCACAGCCACCATCTCCCTGCATGGCACAAATGACACCTGGTACCAGGAGCTCAAGGACATCATCCGAGAGCAACAGACCCGGCCCATCTGGACGGCTGAGGACCAGGTGCTGTGATGCAAGGACTGGTGGGAATGTGGGGCCCTCACAGATATTACCCAGGACCAGATGGGTTTAGAGCCTCTGTCTGGAGTTGGGGCTTGATCGAGCATCAGTGCTGTGGCCAGGACTAAGATCTGATATGAGATTAGGGTCTTGGCTTGGTACTTGAGGGTGTCTGAGATAAGAATTCATTTTGGGAATGGGGTCTCCTCTTGTGGCTGGAGTTAAGGGTTCAGCTTAGATTTGGAGGCAAAGCCTTAAATCAAGGTCCGTGGCTGGAACTCATGCTGGGTTGAAAGGTGAAGCTTCCACTGAAGCTTGAATGTGAGGTCTATTTGAAGTTGCGGGCCAAGGGGCTTGGTTTGGTTGGGGCTGCTGCTGGGGTCCTGGCTAGGGCAGGGGTGTGTCTTGGTTCAGCCAGGGCTAGCTACAGCATCCACACCCACCCTACAGTTGGATAGCTCCTCAGAGGAAAACTTGGACCTCCCGCACTGCGGCCTGGCCGATAGCGCTGCCGACCTCAGCTGCGACAGTCGGGCCAACAGCGAGTATGAGGAGACGGATGGTGAAGGTGGCGTCTACACAGATGGAGAGGGCTACACAGATGGCGAGGATGGGCCCCACATGGATGTGGACGACAGGCCCTTGATGGCAGCCCTGGCTCGGTCCTCAGAACCTGTGCAAGTGGATGAGCCCCAGAGTCTGAGGAATGGGAGAATATCAACTCGCCAGGGGACCCAGGTAAAACTGGCAGACTTGTCAACAAATGTCTCTGATCAGACCCATTTAAGTCACTGGGCAACCTGAAGCAAGTGTTTCAACCTCTGAGCATCAGTGTCCTTATCATACAGGGATAGATGATATCAGAGTTGACACCACAGCGTAGTTGTGAAAACTCAAGGTGTTTAGTCTACATCTTATCACATAGTTCAATGTTTTAATAGTATCTTTTTTTTTTTTTTTTTTTTTTTTAGAGACAGTCTCACTTTATTGCCCTCTGTAAAGTACTGTTGTGTCATAGCTCACAACATCCAACTCCTGGGCTTAGGCAATTCTCTTGCCTTAGCCTCTTGAGTAGCCAGGACTACAGGTGCCCACCACAATGCTTGGCTATTTTTTTGTTGCAGTTTGGCCGGGGCTAGGTTTGAACCCGCCACCATCGGTATATGGGGCCTGCGCCCTACCCACTGTGCCATAGGCACCACCTGTTTTAACAGTATCAATGTTTATTTAGCTTAGTCTTCATGGGGCTGTCTCAAGTACCTTTTTATGAATTCAAAGGCAGCATACCCTTCCCTCCAGACCCCCTCTAATGATTTCCCTGGGGTTGTGCAGTGCCCAACCTCCTCAGCTGACCATAGCAGCCCGCTTATAGAGCTGCCATCATTCAAAGCACTTTACATACGTGAACTTATGACAACAGCCTTCTGAGGAAGTACACAGATGAGGCATCTAACTCCCCCTTTGCCAAAAGGCTAAGATCTCAGCTAAGGTCACTCCTATACCAGCCTCAGTTTTCTTACTTAAAATTGAGATGATCTGCAGACATGTCAGGGAGTCAGAAAGTCTGTGGACAGCACTGCCTAAGCAAATGTGGGGAGGTGGGACAGAAGTGATTACTGATTTCTACTTATACTTTGGGGGGAATTATGAACCACCTCTCTCACTCTTCCAAGGTGGGCAGTTACCACCCCCAGGGTCAGTGGCGACAGGACAGCATACGGTAAGAACTCCATACTCCATATTGGGGGCCCTTAACCTTTGGACTCAAACCTTAGGGTTCAAAAGATCTAGAACCAAGCTATGCCTTCAAAGTGCTCCTAGCCTACTGGGCATGATAGAGCCACTTTACATTGTGTAGTCAAGGCCACGGGAGTAGGAACCATTTTTCTGGGAGGACTGAGAAAGCTTCTTGAAGGATGGGACATTGTAGACGGGGCTTTAAAGGGTGCATAGGAGTTTGCTAACAAGGCCCTACCCATAAATGCCTAGATTTGCTCACTCTCTGCCCACACTCACTGTGCCTGCCTCCTTAATGGTAAGCAAATTCATAGCCTCTCTACCACAGCATCTGCTCTACTTCCTTAACCCCCAGGATATATGAACAAGAAGCCCTGAAGAAAAAGTTTACACAAGCCCGAGATGTGGACTCTTCTGATGACGATGGCTATGACTGGGGCCCAGCCACTGACCTGTGACCCTTCCAAGCTACCAGGTGGACCATCTTCCCTCTTCCTGGAGCTGGGACCTGGTTACCCATATAGAACCCTCAACTGTGTCTCCTTCCACATGGTCTTTAATATATTTCTAAGCACTGGCTTCTAATGGCTTCCAGGAAGTGGCCAGGGGGTTGAGCCCCTGACTTTCTTTTTAGCTTCACAGACTCTGATCCAAGGTTTTGCCCATTAATACACTTTAATTTTTATAGGAAATACCATAGGGCCAAGAACCCTTGAGGCCCAGACATCCAGGGGGCTGAGGATAAATTTCCAGGCTAAGGCACAGTGGTGGGTGTGGAGCAGGGTAGTCACAGATAGATGGGCTGCTCCTGGCCTGTGAGGAGGCGGTAGGTGGCAGCTGGCATCATCTTGATGTGTACCTGGTGGCCAGAGAGGAAAGGGATAGGGAGGGCTCAGGGCTGGCTTGGGTTCAAAGGTGGGCACCCATGCCACCCACAGCCTATGTACCTCGCCATGGGCCTCAGTGAGCAGCTCAATGATCCGGGCATGTGGTGTGGCCACTACACTCTGCCCATTGATCTCAATGATGCGGTGTCCCACACGGACACCTCCACGCTCGGCGATGCCCCCACGGAGGAGGCTGCAGATCTGGGGGGAAGGGATGGGTGGGAAGGAGGTGCTGAGGAGGCTGTACTCAGCAATGCCCCCCACACCCCCATACCCAGGCCCAGGCCTCACGATGCCATCTTCCACGCAGAAGCCTAGCTGCTCGTGGGTGTGGGGCCGGTGGATGATGGCGGTGGTAACAGGTGGACAATGGACGATGCTGAGTGTCACTGATGTCTGCGACTTCACCTCCTGAGGGATAGGAGCTATTGGCCTCGCTTAGGTGCTGGGAGACTGTGGGACTACCTGGCAAGCCTCAGTGTCCCCTCTGTACCCCATCTTACCCACCCATAAACTGGAGTTTGGGATTCAAGGTTCTTAATTATGGAAGATACCTGGAGATGTGGTTAGCAATATACCTGGGCCAGGTAGGCTCAGGGTCAGAGCCATGTGACCTCTAACTCTGCTGGGCCTGTTTCCTCAGGGTCAAAAGCCAAGGGATAGCAGGGCCCACCAAGCAGGGCAAAAGGCTGCATGGACTGCATCAGCTCCACCCTGCTGACCTGGGCAAGTCCCTCCCCATCTCTAGGCCTATTTCCCTACCTGGGCAAGACTTAAAAACATGGGTTAAGACTCAAAAACATGCCAGCTGCTCTTTGGCAGAAAGAAAAGGCTCCCAGCTCTGGAGCCAGGCCACTGGCATTTCAATACTGGCTCTGGCACTAGTCCCCTCGATAAGAGACCTAGCCAGGAAGAGACCTCTCTTCTCTTGGCCTTCCCAGGTACACAGAAGGGGGCCTTGGCCACCCTGGAAGAACTCACACGCACAGCAGCCTGGCAGGTCGCCAGGGGCAGCCCCACCAGGCTAGTCCCATTGATGGCAGTGAGGCGGTCCCCGATGCTGAGGGCTCCTGAGCGCTCTGCAGGGCCCCCATGCAGCAGGTTGGCGATGACAGCTGTGGGGAGCAGGGAGCCCCAGCCCGACTCTACCAGGGCCACACCCAGGCCCTCCCCACGTCGCTTCTCAATGCACACCTGGGAAGGACACAAGGACGTTCAGAGGCTGCTCGGTGTAGGTGGGCAGTGGGCAGTGTTTAGGGGCCAGGTGGGAGCAGCCAACCCTCCATACTCACCTCCCGGCAGTTGTCGCTGTTGCAGAAGTGGTCGAGGTCCCCGTTGTGGAGGTGGCCAGGGCCTGCAGTTCTTGGGCTAGGGCAGGTACCCACCTGGGTGGGATTGATGCCGCTTTCTCGCAAGAACTGGCTATAGGCGACAGTGAAGGCTTGGCCGATGGCCTGTGCAATGAGCTGGGCCTGTGGGGGCGGGGTGATAGTGTATCCCTGGGGGTTTACCTCCTTGCTTCCTCCAAGTCCCTTGATAGCCTTGGAGCCAAGCCCTCCTATGCCCACCTGTGATGAGACTCCCAGGGCTTTCAGGAAGGTGGGGGACAAGGCTAAGACCTTAGAAAATCCACTGGAAGAGGGGAATAGAGGGAAGACAGCTGATTGCAGCAAAGACTATGGGAAAAGCTCCCTAGGAGACCCATATCTGGACCCTGGGGCTGGAAGGGCAGGGGGACAGCCCAGGAGTAGGGAAGGTTTATGGGAGATAGTTATCAGCCTCAAAGACTAAGCCCCATCTCAGGCTTGGGGCTATGTCCTGTCCCTCAGAATGCCAAGGCCCTGGCTGCTCACATCCTCTGAGTGGAATACATGGCAGATCATCCTGTAGAGGCGGCGGCCACTGTCCTGGGGCATCCGCCTCTGGGCCCGCCGCCTCCGCGCCATGAGCACCAGTACACAGCCGATGTCAGCAATGTAGGAGATGGTTTGTAGAGCATGGTCCATCATAGCCTCCTGCAAGTTGGAAGATGTGGCATAGGTGGCTGGACTGCCTGTCCCTGAGTCTCCCACACTCCTGGCCAGGTCCCTGCTCTGTACCTGTGAGTCAGTGGTCAGCACCTTGATCCTCTTGGTGGAGACAAAGAGGTCCACATCTGTCATGGGCTGGGTCTCACCGTCAGGGGCCTGTGGAGGGTGGTGTGGGAGGTGGAGGCCCCCAAAAGACCCTCTCTCTGCAGCCCATCTGCCTGCTCCCAGCCCCTGGCCTCACCTTGACACGGTCCATTGCCTCCCGGGCCTGGGCCATGCGCACACTGGGGGGTGGGTTGCGTTCAGACACCAGCTGGGTGGAGCCCAAGTATTTGGCCCCAAATATGACACCATCTAGGAGGTCTTCATGGTCACAGGGACCAGGTACTGTGGACAACAGCAGGGAGAAGCTGAGCCCTCAGGAACCCACCCTCATGGACTCTGGGCTCCCTGAAATGGTCTAGAAGCACAAATTCCACCTTGTAGCTCAAAACACTCAAGAGCCATGAAGCTCAGCCCACTTTCCAGAACCATCCAAGAGTCTCAGCCCTCATAGGTCTAGAGCATCGGTTCTCAACCTGTGGGAACTGTATTAAAGGCCCGCGGCATTAGGAAGGTTGAGAACCACTGGTCTAGAGTTTTCTGTCCATCCCTCAAGAACATGCAGGCTGTATAGTCAGTACTTGGAGACCTCTGAGTTCAGAACCAAAGCCAAACCAGATCTAGCACTTACAGATAAACCTTCATCCCGTGTTTCTAGAATTCTGTGATCTAACTAGGACTAGATAGTCCCATTCCAATTTCTAAAGTCTACAACACTTTATAACTATAGTCAACCCTGTGGATGGGTTCTGAAATTTTTGCCATCAATCTATAATCAGCCAACTCTGCCTACTGTTCTAGAAGTCAATCCAGTCAGTCTAAGACAATAGGCAGCTCTATTCCTTGGTTATAGAACTGCCCCATCAGAGCAAAAAGAAATAATTGTCTACCCGAAACTCCCTGATAAATCTCAAATAATGATTCTGTCAGAGGTTCTAAAAACCTCTTATTCCAGAATCAGACAGCTTTACTCCGTGATTCTAGAACTTCTTAGTCATGATAGCACCAGGTAGCTCTTCCTATGGTTCTAGAATCACAAGTAGTTCACAACCTCAGCCCTGACAGCGATTCTGAGAATTATCTGAGAAGTCATTAAAAACTTACACTCTAGGCTCAGTGCCTGTAGCTCAGCAGCCAGGGCGCCAGCCACATACACCAGAGCTGGTGGGTTCGAACCCAGCCTGGGCATGCTAAACAGCAATGACAACTACCAACAAAAAAATAGCCGGGTGTTGTGGCAGGTGCCTGTTGTCCCAGCTACTGGGGAGGCTAAAGGCAAGAGTTTCAGGTTGCTGTGAGTTGTCACGCCACAGTACACTACCAAGGGCAACACAGTGAGTCTCAAAACAAAAAAAGTTACGCTCTAGGAGAATTCTAGAATGTTTCTAAAACAACCTCAACCCAGTCCACAGTTACATAAAGCTTTGCTCCCCTGGCTCTAGAATTCCCTGAGGCACCTAAAACCAGAGAGCTCTGCCAGTTAGTTCTAGAATGTTCTAACCAGTAACTATTACTTTGGTTTAGAAGCACAAGTACAGGCCCCAGTTCTGGACATCCTTAAGTGAATTTAAACTACAGCCAGCTCTGCCCATCATCCTTGTGATCTAAGAATTCTGGAAGAGACCCATTCTGGGGTTCTAGAACTGTGCCATCCCCTAGGGCAGCCACCAGGCACATGAGACTATTGTACACACAAAATATGGCTAGTCCAGACTGAGATATGCAACAAGTATAAAATACACATAGGATTTTGAAAATTTAATAGGAAAAAAGTAACCTAATTTAAAAATAGTGATTATATGTCAAAGATAACATTTTAATTGTATTAGATTAATTAAAATATATTATTAAAGTTAATTCCACCCGTTTTTAGGGGTTTTTTTGGTTCCTTTTATTTATTTATTTTTTTAGAGACAGACTCTTACTTTACTGCCCTCAGTAGAGCTCCGTGGTGTCACAGCTCACAGCAACCTCCAACTCCTGGGCTTAGGCGATTCTCTTGCCTCAGCCTCCCGAGTAGCTGGGACTACAGACATGTTTCTTTTTTTGAGACAGATTTTCACTATGTCATCCTCACAGAGTACCGTGGCATCACAGCTCACAGCAACCTCAAACTCTTGGGTTTAAGCGATTCCCTTGCCTCAGCCTCCCAAGTAGCTGGGCCTACAGGCACCTGTCACAACACCCAGCTATTTTTTTGTTGTAGTTGTCATTGTTGTTTGGCAGGCCTGGGCTGGGTTCAAACCTGCCAACCCTGGTGTATGTGGCCAGTGCTCTAGCTGCTGAGCTACAGGCACCAAGCCTGTTTTTAGGCTTTTTTTTTTTTTTT